TATAAATCAAATGTACTACTGTCAGAATATAAAAATTATCAGAAATAACTATTATTATTTTTATCACACTTATGTTAGTTACTAATTTATTATTATTCTACTTAATATTATGTGGTTTTAATCATTTTGTGGTAGTTGAATAATGTTTGCTCATGCCGTAAAGACTGTTCAATTGCGTTTAAATTTCAACAAATTATGAAACAATTATAAGGTTGACAATACAGATTTATTTATTTATGATAATGCTAGATTAACATTATACTATATGTTATACATTTTTTATAATACTTAAATATAATCAATTCTTAATAAATACCTTGAATACAATTTAATATTGGAAATGTTTTGTTTTACATTTCTAGGCACTGCAACAATGGAAAACAAAGTAAAAATAAATGAAATGGAGTCATTTTCTTCACATTTTTTGAAAATTATTTTATATACTTAAGAAAAATAAACACAAATAATACTTTTTTTTACGTGAAAAAAAAGTCTAAATCATGTTTTTACTTAAAATATACATAGTATTATATTAAATTAATATAATGAAGAAAAAAGATTCTTACTCTTAATTAACTAAAAATTATGTCACTAATATTTTTGACTTATTATATAAAGTGAATTCAGGATTTTTATTGCTAAACATTATCTAAATAATATTAAATCTAAAAAAATGTGCGTTAGATAAAAGTAGTTATAATAATTGTTTTTAAATGTGAGTTATTCTTTATTTTTATAATTGTTACTGATCTTTGTATGCAATAAAAACTAGATGATAATTGTAGTAAAAGATATTAATTATTAGGTATAATTTTTTTTCATACATACAATTTGAAATTAAAAAAAAAATATATTTTATTCATTGTCTTATACATATAAGTAGACTTGATAGCATTCTGTGGTTATTTGTCACACCATTAATTTTAGGTGGTGCGACTGCACCGCCTCAAGGAGATTCCATACGGTCAGTTGTTTCAATTAAAATGTACTAATGTTTTGTTAATCATATTGATGTACCCTGTGCGAGATAAACTGTAGGACGTAGGTGCAAGTGATACATTGCAATGGGTCGTCCCAATATTATGGATATTTTGGCTTTTTTTTCATGATATTCCTAAATTAGGGGACCCTAAATTTTGTTGGCCCGTGGCCCTACGAGTACAAGAGCCAGGATGTACCTAATAATGTGATGACATTTTTGAAATGTGATTAAAATTTATTATTATGTCTACTTAAGATCAATCGGGCCACTTTTTTAAGATTCTGTTCTTCAAYTCCTATACAAATTGTTTGATAAAATTTATGAAATTTAAACATTTTTTAAATTAAAAATTGAATATTTTAAAATATTTTAAAATATTTTTAAAATTTGGCTATAACTTGCTCATTCTCTTCCGTATCAAATTTAAAACAATTTTCATACGTCTTATTGCGTTATCTGATCTATTAGTTGAATTAACAAAAAGTATGTACAAATGAGCATATATTGTATCAAGTTCACTTGCACCAATCYGAGGTGGGGACTTATAAGTTATAGGAAGTGTGTGTGCTACAGCACTGCAATTTCTTTTACACAAGTCACCACTCCGCCACTCCCCAGTCATATTGTATACGTGGAGTTTGTATGTTTAATCCACCTCCATTTGGGATTTTTTTGTATATGAATAGGTGTATAAAAGTTTGATCTTTAGGTTATTATTCATATAAGTTTTTATATCCTCCCTCCTAATGAAAATATATGTGTATGAGTCAGTCACTAAATCGTACACATCACTTACTAGGTGCACAATACAAGAACCGTGTGCATGTAATTTGAAAATGACGTATTTTGAACTCGTTGAAAACTTCTGATTTGCAATAAACAAGTGCAGAAAAATAGCAGGCCAACAAATTCACCCTAAATGGTTAAATCCATCCTAATTCGAGCAGATTAGGAACAAATTTGTAAGGAATCTTGTATTAAATTTTTGAATCTTAGATTTAAAAAGAAAATTCTTTAGAATTTCTAGCTTAAGACAATTTGCGAATATTTGTGATTATTACGCATTATTTTGTCAAAATTCAAAATTTGAATGCTTATAAAAAAATATTGTGACTATGAATTTATTTTATTTTTCAACTGCTATTGTAACAATATGTTAAGAGCCTTGTATTAAAT